TGGCAGGAGCCCGGGAAGGAATGATTAGGGAAGTGGTTTGAACACATCTTGTCACCTCGGAAGACAATGATCACAGCTGAGTTCTTGCTCCCCTCCCCTTTATAAAATCCCTGCTGCTGCAGCCCTACCAGGCTAGCCGTGTCTGTGCTGGACAGGCCCAGTCTAGAACAGCGTTTCTCAACCAGCGGTACGAGTACCCTCAGGGGGACTGGAGAGAAGTCGGGGGGTACGTCCACACAACTAAACTTTGGAGAAAACTGAATTTTTGTTTGAAGTTTTTCAGCGCTTTATTATTTGTGTACTTTTTACACCCAAGAATTTCATCACCCGCCCGGCTACGATTAAGTTGTTTAAACAAACGTGTTGCGATGGTAGAAAAACATTGTGTGTGTCTGAAAACTGTAGGTACTGGGGGGACTTAAACATTTTTTTAAAAGGGGGTACTTATCATTCTTTTTAAGGGATACTTTATAAAAAAAGATGGAGAAACACTGGTCTGGAATAGCAGTGCAAGCAGATCAGGATTGAGGGACATTGACAGAACTGGCAGGGACAGAGGCGGGGGAGTGGGAGGGGAGATCTGCCATCCTTTGACACCAGGGCTGGAATAGCAGGGGGGCTGCTACAGCAAAATGGGGTGTGGATTAGGAGGGAGACGCATGGGCAGAACTGGGGAGGGGGGGCTGGAATATCAGGTTGCTAGTCTGGACTGTCAAAACAATTCCTCTTCCCGTTAACTCCGATCCCAACAGCCCCCACCAGAAGGGAAACGGAACAGGCATTTCCCACCCCGGCTAACATCAGCTCCAGCCAGTCACTGGGAACTCTAGTGTCAACATGGCACCCCCCACACCTTAAATTCTAATATAGACGTGGTACCCCCCACAACAGTAGCGTCAACATGGTACCCCCCACTCCTTAAACTCTAGTATAGACGTGGTATCCCCCACAACTGTAGTGTCAACATGGTACCCCCCACTCCTTAAACTCTAGTATAGACGTGGTATCCCCCACAACTGTAGTGTCAACATGGTACCCCCCACTCCTTAAACTCTAGTATAGACGTGGTATCCCCCACAACTGTAGTGTCAACATGGTACCCCCCACTCCTTAAACTCTAGTATAGACGTGGTATCCCCCACAACTGTAGTGTCAACATGGTACCCCCCACTCCTTAAACTCTAGTATAGACGTGGTATCCCCCACAACTGTAGTGTCAACATGGTACCCCCCACTCCTTAAACTCTAGTATAGACGTGGTACCCCCCCCATGCTAGTGTAGACCTGGTACCCCCCCACCTTAAATTCTAGTATAGACGTGGTACACCCCCCCACGCTAGTGTAGACCTGGTATCCCCCACACCTTAAACTCTAGTATAGATGTGGTACACCCCCCCACGCTAGTGTAGACTTGGCACCCTCCACACCTTAAACTCTAGTATAGACGTGGTATCCCCCACAACTGTAGTGTCAACATGGTACCCCCCACTCCTTAAACTCTAGTATAGACGTGGTACACCCACCCACGCTAGTGTAGACTTGGTACCCTCCACACCTTAAACTTTAGTGTCGACATGGTACCCCCCACACCTTAAACTAGGGCTCAGCAACCTAAGGCTCACGAGCCAAATATGGCTTGCGAGGGGAGCACATCCGGCTCTGCCGGCAGCCGCTGGGTGCTCCCTCCAGGGTGTGCGCCTGCGCGGGCGCGCCCACAGAATTGTAACCCTTGGATGTGGAAGGTAAGATGCTGCTGCTGCTGGCGGGGGGGGGGGGGCGGGGAGGCGGGGCCCGCCCCAGGAGGAGCTGGGCAGCTATCACGCAGCCCTGGTCCCAGCTCCAGCCCTGGGGAGAGGCCGGATGGCTCCGACCTCTCAGCTCCTGCCTCCTCGGGTTGCTGTGTCACCCCGGACTGCAGGGAGCCCCTGGCCGGTGAATGCTCGGGCTTCTTGGTGGGATGGCCTCGTATTTTGCTTCAACATCTATTGTGATTCTGAATGCCTTCCCGGGTTGGAGGTACCCGACAGACACAGGTGGAGACAGAACAAGGTTCACAAAGGGAGTGAAGCGCCACAGGCCACACTGAATGGCTCATTTGTGCTGTTATTAAGCAGCGTGTCGATTATCACGACTATTAAGCGGTGCGTTTTCAGCCATGCAAATGGGCATTCTGCTGCAGCGCTTTGTTGACCCCTTGTTCTGAATGCTGATGTCATTTGGCTCTTTGGTGGGAAAAGGTTGCCGGCCCCTGCCTCAAATTGGCTCAGAGGGTGGCTCCTCTAGGCTAGGTCCTACACCTAAGAGGGCAGCAGGTCAGACTAGTGCAGGGCTTCTTAAACTTTTTAAGACAGAGGAACACCAAACAATAATTTTTTTTATGGGGAACACCAAGGATTTTTTTTGTTGCGGGAAAAAAAAGCCCCCAGAGAAAAATTGTTGAGCAAAAGAAAGAAAAAGGAGGCTTGTCCCTTTAAGGGCAGCATTCTGTTCTCTCTGCGGCATACCTCCGACTGCCTCAAAGAAATGCTGGACTAGTGGCTAAGGTCTGGTGGGGCACTTGCACACCTGGTTTCATTCCTGGCTCTGCCACTGACTTGCAGTGTGATCTTGGGCAAATCCCTTCACTCGCTCTCTGCCTCAGTTTCCCCACCCGTTCTTTGTCCGGTCTCTTTTGATTCCAAGTGCTTGGAGGCAGGATCTGTCTCCTATTGTGTGTCTATACAGCACCTGACGAAATGGGGCCCTGAGCTCAGCCGGAGAGGGGGGCAGGGCTGCGCTCTGGGCCTCAGCCCCATTCCCACCGTGAGTCAGTCTTGTCTCCTGGGAGGAAGCTCCGCAGAGCAGAGGCTGCATGAGCAGCGCCTGGCACCACAGGGCCCCGGTCTCAGCTGGGCTTTCTAGGAGCGGCTGGAATAATAACAAAGCCACAACGCCGGGGAGGTTTTGGCAAGACGCCCCTCGGGCAGCCTAAGGCCCGAGGCACAAACAGGGCCTCCCAGGCACCCCGCCCTCCCAGCCGCTCGATGGCCTGTGGAGGAAGGTGGGCAGGAGGAGAGCTGTTCGGAGCCAGTTATTGTCGGCCGCGGGGGAGGCATTCTTTCCGCCGGGGCGAAATGTCTGTGGAATAGCCGGGCCGCCTTTGAAAGGCTGCAGGGGTGAATGTATTAGCGCCGAGCCCCCTTTCAGAGCTGTCAGTGGTGATGACTGCTCTGTCTGAATGGCCAGAGCTCATTCAGGGCTGTGAAAGGAACCCCTTCTCCTTTGCCTCAATTCAGGCCGTGAATTGAGCAAACTTGGCCAGGCCGGGGGGCGTCCTTTATTGCACGCTGGGAAACCCGGGGCCCGAAGAGAACCCCTCCTCGGATGAATGGCTGGGGCTTGGGAGATGTGTTTGGAAGGAGCCCGGGGGTGAGCGTTGCTCTGAGAATAGGCCGCTGGGAGACAGAGAGGGCAAGGTAGGGTCGAGCCTCTTGGGGAGTGGGAGGTGAGGCCGCACTAGGCGAAAGGGGCTCGGAAGGGCTCGGAACGGAGCTCTCCGTTCTCTTTGATCACGGAGATGTTAATCGGCACCGTCCATCCCAAAGGATCTCTAGAAGGCCCTGGGAAATTGCCGTTCTTGTGCCTGCAGTGCGACCGCTGCTGGGGTGGGACACGCCAGCCTTGTAACAGCGCCCAAAACCACTGCGCAAATTTAGGGCAGGAAGGGAAAAGGAGCATAGGTAGCTTGTTGAAAACTTCTGGGCGAAGTTCCCTGTTTTCCTTTCGGCCCGTTTCGAAGCGGACCTGTGCCTCTCCTGGAAAGCGATTTTTTCCCACGACAGTTTAACAGTTGAAATGGGGACTGAAGATTTTTGATGATGGGGGAAAAAATCCGGCTTTTGAGAATGAGTTTGGTAAAACTGTGCCATGGAAAAAGAAAAGCTAAGACTCTCTGGCCCCGGATTTCCTTCTTGCAAAAATGGCCACTGTTACGCCCAAAAGAGTATTCACCAAGAATTTAGTGCTGGCACCCAGCCGATGCTGGAGGGTGAGACTGGTGGCAGAGTGCAGTGGTGCATATTGCAATTTAAGCAGGACTCCAAAGTGAACTGCCTTCTCAGCCAAAGGTCACGGGACTCTAACGAGCCCCAGTGATTAGCGGTTTGGTTCAGGAATTATACAAATTATGCATCATGTAAAGCCTACTCATTTACCTAAGCAAGCATGCAGCTAAAATTGGGGAGTCCAGGAAGGACTCTTAGTTTCTGTGCTTGGCTCTGGGAGGGAGGCCTGCCAAGTGGTTAGAGCAAGTGAGAGTCTGGGTTCTAGTCCCATCTTGGATTAATCGATTGACTTATTGGTACCTCCGTTTCCCTAGGCGCTCCCATCTTTTCACAGCTAGTACCTCTCTCTTGTTTGCTATGCCCGTGTTCTGTTACAGTGTTTCGCAAACATTTTAAGACAGAGAAACACCAAAAAAACAAACAAAAAAAGAGGATGAGGAAAAGTTATTGAGCAAAAAGAAAAATAGGGTCGGAGGGAAGTTATTGAGGAGAGGGGGGCGGGAAAAGGGTGGCTATTTTGAACTCTGTTGTTCTCCACGACTGCCTTGCGGCACACTGGTGTGCCAGGGAACACAGTTTAAGAAACACTGCTCTATCACATGCATAACAGGGTTGGGAACTGCTTGGAGACAGGCACTGTAATGGGCCTAACAAGCGTATGGTCATCACTTTGATCCCCACTACCAGGGAGTCCCACAGGTTAACCATGACTATGCCAAGGAGGCCCACAGGTTAAACTTTCCTGTGCCAAAAAGTCCTACGAGTTAGCCCCAATTCTGACCTGCACCCAGGAGTTCCACAGATGAATCCCCCACTGTGACCTGCACCAGGGAGTGCCACAGATTAACTCCAAACATGGCTTGTGCCAGAGACTCCCATAGGTTAACCTTGATTGTGCCCTGCAGAACTCCCCTGTTCAGGTCATTACTAATATTCCCTCCCTCACTCTCCTTGCAGACGCAGTGGGCCTCTCGGACCTGGGCCACGTGGAGAGCGTCCAGGAGAAATCGCAGTGTGCCCTGGAGGAGTACGTCCGGAATCAGTACCCCAACCAGCCCAGCCGCTTTGGCCGGCTGCTGCTCCGCATGCCCTCCCTGCGCATCGTCTCCGCGCCCGTCATCGAGCAGCTCTTCTTTGTCCGCCTGGTGGGCAAGACGCCCATCGAGACCTTAATCCGGGATATGCTGCTGTCGGGCTCCAGCTTCAACTGGCCCTACATCCCCATGCAGTGAGGAGGGAGGCAGGAGGAGCTGGGGTTTGTGGGGTGGCAGAGACGCACCCCTGGATTCTGTCCGGAGCAGGCAGGGTCACGGCGACTCCTCCCTGCTTTGGAGGAATGGGCAGGGCTTCCCGCCGGAGGGCGGGCGTTGACGGTTCCATGGCACGGGGGTGCCAGGCCTAGCGCCTGGACTCTGGAGAACAAAGGGGCACGGAGCTGACTCTGGAGGGGTTCAATTCTCCGCGGGCCCTTCTTGTTCCGCTTCCATGGGGGCAGGAATTCCCCCCTCCCGGCCCCGAGCTGCCCGTCCTTCCACCAGCCTGACAGACAAAACCACCTGTAACCTTGCAAGCCACCTGTACCCGTTTGCTTCTGTTTGACCTGTATGCACAGAAAACTCTGTACCTGCCCCGGCCTGTGCGTGGACTCTGCCACACAGGGACCACACGTACGCACCCTACTCGGGGGGGCTGCCGCTTCCCGGCAGCCCCTGTATGGACTGAACTCAAGGGCCGGGCAGATGGAGCCCACCTCTGGCTTTTGACTCTATCAGCATTTGGTACCTGGCCGCTGAGAACGGAGGACTCATTACCGGAGTGGCCTTGATCATGTGACAGATTGCTTTCTTCCTTTTCTGGGAGGAGAGGGTGGTTCCCGCTTGGTAACACACACACAACGTCGAGTTGCAATTTCATTGCCTGTGTGTGTGTGTGTGGGTATGTGTGTGGTGGGATGGGATGGGGGGTGGTTAAAATGTATCATTCCCTTTGGACTAAAAGGAGGCACGGACTATTTATAAATAAAATAAACCTATATTATATCCTAAATTCTTCTGTTCTCCCCTTGAAAATGAAAGTGTATATTCCCCCATCCCGTCTCCTTTCGTTTTTCATTCCCCCCCTTCTTGTTTGTAACGATATTTTGCTGTGGATTGTGGATTTCTCTTTGGAAACAAAAAAAACCAACCTTTTTTTTTTGGTGGCGCTGGCATTATAATTAAAACTGATGCTCGCTGAATTTGTTCCAGGTTTTCTTCTTCTTGCTGGAGTGCCCTGGGGCTCTCTGCATTTGGGAAGCCGAGCTGTGACAGATGGTCCTGCCTAGTGGGATGGGGCAGATGTCTCGGGAAGTCGAGCCCAACCGCAGCTGTTCGGTGGTACCTTGGTGGAAAGAATATAAAGGACGCGGGGCTGGTGGTGAGCACTCGGGGCGGGAGACTCGCTGTTGGCAAGCACGTAAGCAACCACGTCACTTTAAGCGCCCCCGGTTCTGACGCCCGCACTTCACTTTCAGCAGGCACCGAAGTGCCCTTCTCGCATGCGGCTGTTGTGCTGAATCTGGACCGTAGCGATGGCCGAGATGGGCTTTCCCTAAACTCCTGGCTCCGAATGCCCCCGACCCTCGAGATTTGAGCTTCAACTTCGTTGCTGGATCGTTTCTTGAGAGCCGCCCGAATTAGGACCCTAGGTCTGGCTGGGCTGTGGCTCGCGCCCATCTCTGATTCGGGGACCAAGGAATTCGATTGGGCTCAATGGGCCAGTTGCAGGTTTCCGTGCAGAGCTGTTGTCAATACCTGGGCCAGGTGTCTCATTTCGCAGATGACAGATCTCTGTTAGCCAGCCCCACGGAGTGGGACCGTGATATAAAGACTAAGCCAATAAATATTATCATAGCATCTAGAAAGCCCATCTGAGATCAAGGCCCCACTGTGCTAGTCACGGCATAGGCCAACGGTGGGCAAATACCGGCCCGCAGGCCAGATCCAGTCCACCAAGGTTAGCCCCCCGCTGCGCTCTTTACCTGCAGCTCCGCAGCTACGGGCGATCGCAGCTCCCATGGGCCGCAGATCCCTGTAGCCAGCCAATGGGAGCTGCAGGAAGCGATGTCCCAGTCTGTGCCACTCCCCGCAGCTCCCATTGGCTGGGAATGGCGATCCACGGCCAATGGGAACGGCAATTGCTGGTACCTGCAGAGTTGCAGGTAAATATAGTGGTGGTGGCCCCCCACCACTGGCCTAGGCAGAAAGGGAGAGCCAGATCCTGCCCAGAAAAGCTCCCAAGCTAAGTAGACAAAGGGTGGGAGGGGAAACTGAGGCACGGAATAGCCCTGGGCTTTGCCCAAGATCACCAGACAGGTCACGAATAGACCCCAGCTGTCCTGGGTCACTGACTCATTAGCCCATGCTGTCTTCCGTGCACATTTAACGCCACTGAACAAAATCAAGAACAATTAAGACAGATCACATTCATACCTTCCCAAGCCTGCTTTGAAGAGCCATACGGTTTCAGACACCATCGCCCAGCCGGGAACCCAAGTCCCCACAATCCCAGTCAAGTGCTGTAACCACAAGGTCACACTACCCCTGCGACAAGAGAGGCACAGCTGAGTCCTCAAGCTGGCATGGACGCTCAGGATGGCTCCATTGCCTCTTGGGGCTGCAAAATTGACAGCGCAGGGCCCACATTCTGGGTTCTTAATACGGGAACAATGTGGGGGATTGCAAACACTCCTCTCTGTCCCGAGCGTAGCCCTGTATAGCGTAACAGCCGCCTTAGAAATCAGAAGTGGGGGGGAGAGGACTCGCCACACTGAAGGCGGAGGTGTTTTATTATGAGGCATTTTGAAAAGCCCATTAGAGAAAAGTCAAAAATGGCCTTTTCAAACCAAAGGACAGCCGCGCGGCTTCATCTGACCCCTCACTAAATAATGGCGGGGGGAAATATTTGAAGCAAACACGCGAGAGGTTGGATTGCGGACGTTACATGAATCACCGGGAGTGTGTCCTCTGGAATTCATCCAAGGACAGGCCCCTGGAGAAGTTATCCCTCCGGGGGGAGATGCTGTTCAATGATCAAGCCTGTCTGCATGGTAGAAGAAAGAAAAAAGGTGGCACGTTCGAGATCGGACGCCTCTCCGGCTATAGGCCCTTTATGATACCAGAGCAGCACAGAAGAGCCTTTCGTGCACGAGATCAGACCCAAAGAATCGAGGGCTAGAAAGCTTTTACCTCGTTCCAGTAATCACCTAAGACTGTAAGACACAAAAATGGCTTTGTGGGGCGAAACCAATGGTCCGTCAAGCCCAGCAGCTTCGAAAGGAATAATAAGAGCAGGGCAAGTTATCCCCTGCTGCCCCATGCCCGGCTTCTGGCAATCAGAGGCTTAGAAACACCCGGCCCATGGGGTTGTGTCCTTGGCCATCTTGGCTAATCACCCCGGCGGGATCTGTTCTCCGCAAACGTCCCTAATGCTGTTTTGAACCCAGTTCTAGATTTGGCTCGCCCAGCATCCCTGGCAAAGAATTTCACAAGCAGCAGCCAACGGCCATTTGGGGCACCGTGGAAAAATGGGCACTCAGGGCCGGGTCAAGGTGGGGGGACTGAGGGCAGAGAAGATAGAGAGGGACCCCCACTTGCTCTGGCCCAGGGCTGTACAAAAGTTTAACCAGCCTCTGATCAAGAGGTGACTGTGTGTGGTGCGAAAGAGTACTTCCTTCTACTTGTTTTCAGCCTTGCATGTAGAATAGTGATAGAAATCACTATCACTACAGGCAGTCCCCGGGTTACATGGATCCGACTTACATCGGATCCCTACTTACAAACGGGGTGAGGCAACCCCGCACTAGCTGCTTCCCCCCAGCAGACCAGGGAGACGCGAAGCTAGTGCCCCCCCCAGCAGACCAGGGAGACGCGAAGCTAGCGCCCCCCCCAGCAGACCAGGGAGACGCGAAGCTAGCGCTCCCCCACAGCAGACCAGGGAGACGCGGAGCGGCTTTTCTCAGCAGACACCTCAACTTGAGACTTACAAATGGGGTGAGGCAACCCCGCACTAGCTGCTTCCCCCCCAGCAGACAAACCAGGGAGACGCGAAGCTAGCACCCCCCCCCAGCAGACCAGGGAGACACGGAGCGGCTTTTCTCAGCAGACACCTCAGCTTGACAATAAAGGACTGAGGGAAGTGAGGTGTGGGAGAATAAAACTGAGCTCTGGAGAAATGTTTGGCTAGAGTTTCCCCTACAATATGTACCAGTTCCGACTTACATACAAATTCAACTTAAGAACAAACCTACAGTCCCTATCTTGTACGTAACCCTGGGACTGCCTGTATTCTACATGCAAGGCACTACATTTAGCCGTTTGGAATGGAAATCCATCAACCATACAAAGAAACTTGCACAGATACAGACAGACATCATCTTTCTATCCAAGTGCAAGAAGATGGACATCGTACCCAAAGGACTGAAAGTGAACATATGTGTTCATTTTTTTAACTGTATCCGTTGGTACATATGGTTGTGACTATTTTCTTCCACTATTTGATCTGAGGAAGTGGGTCTGGCCCACGAAAGCGCATCACCTAATAAACCATCTTGTTAGTCTTTAAAGTGCTACATTGTCCTGGTTTTTGTTTTCAGCCGGCTGCCTAGTCATTCCGTTGGGCGACCCTGGTTTGTGTGTGCGGGGAAGGTGTAAGCAATACTTCCCGATTCGCTTTCTCCACATCTGTCAAGGTATTAGAGCTCTCGATCGTATCCCCCCTGCATTGTCCCTTTTCTCTGCTAACCAGTCCCTGTCCCTCGGCTCTCTCCTCAGATGAAAGCCGTTCCACATCCCTAATTAATTTGTGGTGCCCTTCTCCGTGGTTTTTTTCAAATTCTTATCAGTATATTTTTGCCAGGGCTCCCTGCAGTGTTCCAGGCGTGGGTGTACCTGGGCTTCATATGGAGGCAGTAAGGTATTTTCTGGCTTGTTATCGGCCCCTTTCTTAACGGTTCCGGACACCCTGTTCGCTTTTCTGACTGCCGCTGCGCAGATGATTGCAGAGAACGACCGGCGAGGACTCCACGACCTCTCTCCTGAGCGATAATTAGACGCCAGCCTGTTGGACAATACACACAACGTGCCTTACTTTGCATTTGCCGGCACTGAATTTCATCTGCCATTTTGTGGCCTAGTCGCCCGGTTTTGGAAGGCGCCGCTGTAACTCTGTGCAGTCTGCCTCGGCCGTGAGCCATTTTTCGGTCATTTGCAGACGTTACCCCTTCACTGTTTGCCACTTTTCCCAGATCGTTTAGGGATATGTGGAACAGCACTCGTCCCAGCATAGTTCCCTGGGGGGCACCCTAGTTATCTCCCTCCACTGTGAAAACGGACCCTTTCGGCCTATCTTTACTTCCTGTCTTTTCACCAGTTACTGATCCATGAGAGGACCTTCTCTCTCATCCCGGGACTGTTTTACTTTGCTTACGAGCCTTCAGCCAGGGGCCTTGGGAAAGGCTTTCTGGAAGTCCATGTGCCCTCTCTCACCTGTGCGGACACCCCCAAAGAAATCTAAGCCACTGGGGCGGCATGAGTCCCCTTCACAAAAGCCGTGTTGACTCCTCCCCGGTGTATCATGCTCATCTGGGTGTCTGATCATTCTGGTCTTTCCTGTAGTTTTAACCAGTGGCGACTGCCAGACAGGGCCACTGGTCACG